ATTTAAATATTTCAGGTGTCTGCTATTATATATATATATATATATATATATATATACGTTTTTACCAGTTTGTGACTTGAAGGGATAATTCCGAGGAAGATATAAATCCAGGGAGAGCTCAATGTAGACTATAGACCATTAAAATGATAATAAGATGACAGACTTTAATTACCTATTTCGTTTATAATTTTTATTTCGTGAAAACCGAGATGTTCAAATCATCAGAATGTTCGCGGAGGAGATTTCGTTCACGAAATCAAAATTATAAACAAAATGGGTAATTAAAGTCTCTCTTTCTTAAAATTATATATATATATATATATATATATATATATATATATATATATATATATATATACTATATATACAGTAGAGCCCGGCGTTGCCCGGGGATGTAAAAAAGTAAGAGATAGATCAAGTATCGACCATCATAAAGACTGAAAAATAAAATTGACAAAGATTATTGTTTAAGTTTGACGGACACGCATGTCTTAATTAGTTTTTTTTTTTACGAATTGGTCAAATCCAAATTCAAACAAAAACACTGTTTTCAATCGTTATGAGTCTACCGATTGAATAGAATTTTATTATAAACAATTGTCTTGTAAATGGAATTTTAAAGCATTCTGAATGTAAAAATAAAGAAAAAAAGTGTGCAAGACAATAAGAAACACTACCTGCCAAAAAAGTGAAGTTTTGTTGAAATCGGTTGAAAAATGTAGGAAATCCGACCCCATATATAAACGAACACACACACACACACACACACACACACACACACACACACACACACACACACACACACACACACACACACACAAACACAACCTGGGTTTTATAATAAGTATAACTCGATATGAGTTGTCCCCCTTTCATTCCTGCGACAGCGATGCCTCTTAATCATGTTTTCAAATTGATTTCGTGCAAAAACAATTGTGTTTTTTCAATTTTGGGCGCTGTCAGAACCACCGCAAGGTAATTTTACGTAGTTCTGTGAAGTTTTGTTGAAATCGGTTGAAAAATGTAGGAAATCCGATCCAATATATAAACGAACAGACACACACACACACACACACACACACACACACACACACACACACACACACACACACACACACACACACACACGCACACATAACCTGGGTTTTATAATAAGTATGATATATGTTGTTACGTTTTCAATATTTTCTCACTGAAATACAAAAATATTATTCAGCAGTGATAAATAATTTCATCATTTATGAGAATTAATACGAACGAGTTATGCACGTGACAAAATACATTAGATTCATTAATTAGCCTAAAGGAATTTTTATAAAAGAATTCCCAGGAAAGAGAGAAAGCGAAATTGAACGTAACCTAAGTAAAATAGGCAACAATATATGGAGCCGTTATAAATGGAACTTATTTAAAACAGTCTTTATTAATAAATAATGGTGCGGGATCATACTTAATAAATAAACTCGAGAGATACACTTAAAAATATTTTAACGGATCAAGAATAAAATATTTACTCATGAAAGATTTTCCAGAAATTTGCTCCCTAAAACAAATTATATTGTATTTACTTGCTTGCTGTTCTTTCTTGTAATAGGAAATGACAAGAGCATTTTTTTTATAATCTTCCTGACAGGGTTAGGCTAAATGTCCCAGACGCCTTACAAACCCCGACATTTTTTTTTTAGTCGGAGGCGTCCAGCTAAGAAACATTGAAAAGAATCATCATCATTCTTTGTTCTTGATTAGAGATGTCAATCAAATTTTGCCTCAGTTACAAGATAATTAAACGAACTAACAAGGGCTGCTTCCTTCCCAGCCTTCACTTCACATTGCTATTGCGAATGCTTGCATCTGTGTCTGACGCCCAGTGTGTCCAAGCGTGTGTGTAGATGTGCAGATTGCGTCGAATCAGACTTGATAATTAATGCTCACCATTCGCTTGCTACAGGTAATTTGTTCACTTCCGGTATGTCCGTTTTCTCCCGAATGGATTATGCGCCTGCGCGAATAAAGTCAGCAAACACACACACGCGCGCTCACAAGCACAAACACAAGCAGATTCATAATGCAAAGAAGTATTATTAAGCAATACAAATGTACTTTAACGTTTTTTGAGTAATGTATAAAATACAGGAACACGTCGTTCTGCATTTGTATTGCTCTTTCTGATAAATGGTGACTGTCAGATTCACGTTTTAAAGGATCATCAGACAGATTTATATCTACATAGGCTTTATCTTACCGCATAAATATTCCAAATTTGAAACAATATAATAATCTAACCCTCTCTTTATATATTTATTTTGATGTATTTCTATTCATGATGTAAATCTTGAGCACTAAAAATACTAAGTGGTTTTAAATAGAAATCAATAATTATTCGGGGTTTAATTTTGTTGCTATGGTGTCTCCAGGTGGGTTCTTGGGTGATATTTTAAGGCTGTGCCCGGGTTTGGGTTTCAGGTTGGATGTCTTTATTCTATAGGAATTGAGCACTGTTGTTTTATTTTTAAAGGTAGATGTCTGTCTGTCTCTTTTGCAGCATTTGTAATGGTAGGGTTCATTTTTGATAATTTCCCTTCACATTTTTGTTGGTTTACTCTAGTATATATATATATATATATATATATATATATATATATATATATATATATATATATATGCATGTTTCATTGAAAACGACAGACAAGGTACTAAGATTAAGATTTTTATTTAATTTCTCTTGTGTTCGAACAATTGCTTTTCTTTTGGGGACACAGAGTGTGTTGAAACTGTCCGTATGTTCTATAATTTCGGAATTATAGAACATTTGGACAGTTTCTTCACATTCTGTGTCCAATCGTAGTATTTTGTGCGTCGTTTTTATGAAACATGCATAAATGAAGGATTGCTGCCTAAATACACAATGTGAGTGTATATATATATATATATATATATATATATATATATATATATATATATATGAGCCTTTTGTTTCGCATCATATATGAAATAGGGTATTGGAGGGCCTTTAACGAAATTTCAGTGTATTTCTTTTCTTCGTGTAAATATTGAGGACTGCAAATTCATAGTGCTTTTAAATAATAATCAGTTTCTACTTAAGAGCACTCAGAATTTGCAGCCCCCAATATTTACACGAAGATGAGAAATATATTTAAAATACTTTCAAGACACTCAATACCCTAACTATACACACACACACACACACACACACACACACACACACACACATATATATATATATATATATATTATAAAATTATATTTTGAAGGTATGCTCTATTTATGGGTAAAAAGTGCTCAAAATCAGAGAAAGATCGTAAAATCGACACTAAAATGTTAAGAGGCGACAGTCTGTTTGATGACAGTTGTCGCTTAGTGTTGACCTCAGTATCCACTTTTATACACACACACACACACACACACACACACACACACACACACATATATATATATATATATATATATATGCACGAACTCCCTCTTTCATTTCAAACACAGTGCGGTCTGGCATATCAACCGGAATGTCTGCGATCTCTCTACGGATGTTTTGTTTTAGTTTCAAACTGTGTGGGGCTTTCGTAGTGGCGACCATCTCACAGATGTAATATTCAAATCTTAAATAATATGTTGAACCCTTTTATATCAGTTATGTAATAAATATATTTGGTACTCTATGTCATTTTTATAATTCAAGATACTTGCATTTAAAATGTATATACATGTATGTACATTGACTGAATAACAGTCTTTTAACATGCATCCATATATGCACGCGCACTTACACAAACATACATTTCAAATATAAACACTTCAATTACTTCACTCTACGAATTAATTACTCTGGACCAATTTGTGAATGTAATGGAAATCTACACGATTATATCTATTCATAGATGAATACATCCATGAATTTGTCTTAATGTATAAAAACATCTTTAGTGATAGGCTAAAGGCTTTCAGCGTTTTATATATGTGTATTGATTCACGCATGCGTAGTCATTTTTCTAACAAGCACGTGGCCCGGTGTGTCTCAGAGACAGTCTCAAATTTCCGAAACCTTCAAGGCAGGCGGCCAACTGACACGTCGGAAGGCGTCCATCACTTTCATGCTTGGTCGGCCTTCATCGTCTGTCATCGCAAACAAGCCACCTTCAAGAAGCTAATTAAATCACTTCAAGTTCACTTAAACTGAAACTGACTTCTTGTTTTTCGATGGGAAAGAAGTGAGTCACCCATAACCGTGAACGATCTTTGAATATAACTGGATATTAGGCGAAAAAGCAGAGAGACGTAGGAGTTTCGCAATTGGGTTTGAACTCTTAGAGATTGCCCCAAATAATAATATAAAAAAACTTACTAATTTGAGTTAGTAATATCAAGAAAAAGAAACAGTGAAATAGATAGATAGTAATAGAATGAGATAGATAGATAAATAGATAGATAGGAATAAAATTACACACACACACACACACACACACACACATATATATATATATATATATATATATATATATATATATATATATATCAATAGATAGATAGGAATAGAATGATATAGATAGGAATAAAATTATATACACACACAGATACATACACACACATATATATATATATATTTATATATATATATATATATATATATCAATAGATAGGAAAAGAATGATCTAGATAGATAGGAATAGAATGAGATAGATAGATAGATAGATAGATAGATAGATAGATATATGATAGGAATAAATTTATGCACACACAGACACATACACACAAACACATATATACATATATTAATAGATAGATTGGAAAAAATGATGATATAGATAGAATGGGAATAGAATGAGATAGATAGATAGATAGATAGATAGATAGATAGATAGATAGATAGATAGATGAACCGACTGAGATAGATAGATAGATAGATAGATAGATAGATAGATAGATAGATAGGAATAAATTTATGCACACACAGACACATACACACAAACACATATATACATATATTAATAGATAGATTGGAAAAGAATGATATAGATAGATAGGAATAGAATGAGATAGATAGATAGATAGATAGATAGATAGATAGATAGATAGATAGAGGAACCGACTGAGATAGATAGATAGATAGATAGATAGATAGATAGATAGATAGATAGATAGATAGGAATAAATTTATGCACACACAGACACATACACACAAACACATATATATATATATTAATAGATAGATTGGAAAGAAATGATATAGATAGATAGGAATAGAATGAGATAGATAGATAGATAGATAGATAGATAGAGGAACCGACTGAGATAGATAGATAGATAGATAGATAGATAGATAGATAGATAGATAGGAATAAATTTATGCACACACAGACACATACACACAAACACATATATACATATATTAATAGATAGATTGGAAAAGAATGATATAGATAGATAGGAATAGAATTAGATAGATAGATAGATAGATAGATAGATAGATAGATAGATAGATAGATAGATAGATAGAAGAGTGGAATAAGAATACATAGACAGAACCGTGATTGAGTCATAGATATTAGACAATCTTGGGTGACAGCCAGTCTAGGTTAAAGACTCTGAATTTAAAACCATGGTGAAAATAAAGGGAGGAACCACTCGATATTCTTCCCCATTCTTTCTTAATTTGGCGAGAGCCATGATTGTCTCCGTCTAGAATGGAGATGACATTCAAAAATAAAGCATGGAACTGGCCAAATTGAACAGAAACAAAGTATCAGGAACCAGAAAGAATTGTAATAGAGATGCTGGCAGCCTTAGATGATTTCGGCATTGACAAGACTACAGACATAATAAATGAAATATGGAACAGTGGCAATATACCAGAAGCAGGTCTATTTTCAAAGTATGTACTGCCTAAGAAGCCGAGTGCAAACGAATGTGCACTCCATCTGAAAATCAAATGAGCCACATAAAACTTATTCTTATATAGGGATAAAGTGTCGCTGCCGACACTTGAGTTTGAACATAGATCACCAGTGAGTAAACACAAGCGACCCCATTATTGAATTAAGTAGACCACATGACCATAATGGAAACGCATATAAGTAAGAAGTTGCGGGCACCTCCAGGTGGTGTAATGGTTAGAAAGTTTAGCTAGAACAATTACAACTGAGTAGTGAGTTCGATCCTCACTAGGTGTCCCATACTTTCGGCCTCGTGCCACATCTAAGCTACGCTTGGAAAATAACTATAAGTAAGAAGTTGCGTGACGTCTAAATGATCGCGTCTCTATTCTATCCTCAATTACTATACAGACCGTTATTCTCTACTCTGTTCACTATACTATTTCTCTATTCGGAACATTATACGGATTACTATTCGAGCGAGCATTATCGAACAAGTACTATTAGTGCGAGTGATATTTGAAGGCGTCTGACACTTATATTGCTCAACCGCGTAGTATAGTTGTATCTGCGATTAAAGTCTCTACTACAACGTGAATTACGAAAGTGACAACGAGTATTTGTTGGCATCACAAAACATATCCCGAATTCTGATGAATAAATCAGGAAGTAGAATTAGACCGGAAATAAGACAAGAACAGTGCGGGTTCGTTAAAGACAAGCAATGCCATATCTATGCTCAGAATGAGAAATGCAAATGCAGAAGGATGTATACTTGTGTTTTATAGATTATGCTAAAACTTTTGACAAATGCACCACAATGAACTGTTGGAAATATTAGAATAACCCAGAATTTATATTGGCAGAAAACTGCTTACATACGAATAGACAATGAATTCAGTAAATATACAAAAATAGAAAGGGGTGTAAGACAAGGATATGTCTTCTTATTAAACCTATACAGTGAGGCGATTCTGAGAGAATTAGAAGTTCTATTAGGATTCATTATTGCCGACCATAATCTTAACAACATTGTAAAGAGTGTTTCATTAAGTCAGATTATATATAAAACATTAAGACGGATCAAAGTCAGCAGTAAATAAATCAGTGTTATTGTCGAAAATTTATTTATTTCTCTATTGGATCATGTTATTTAAGTCATGGCAATTATGTGTAAAAAATAATATCGCCCAAATGTCCGCCAAATCTAAAAGAAAAAGAAAAAAAAATCATTAGACACTTAAACTTAATTGACATTTAAAATTGGTCTAAGTTATTGGAACACACTTTATATGTAGCTGTCACAGTGCTGATAGCAGACACAGAAAGGAAACTACAAAAATTCTTGAAGGTGGTGAAGGAAACCTAGAAGAAAGAACTAAACATCAATTTCAAGAAGACATAATGCATGGTTGTCAGCAAAATGAACAGCCTATCATGCAAATTGCAAAATGGAGATACCAAAATCAAGCGGGTAAACTATCTAAATATCTGGGAAGTGTTTTTAGCTGAGGACGGAAAGTGCGACACGGAAATCTGAAGGCTCACTGAGATAGAAAAATGTGCCTTCCAAAAGCTAAGCAAAGTATTAAGAAACAGAAAAAAATCATTAGAAACAAGGAAAAGAGATTTGTATCAGTCAGAAAGAATCAGATGAAATTTCTCGGAGGCATAGATCTTGGAAAACTTGACCCTCACAAGGCATATCGCGGGCAAAATAGATAAGGGAATGCATAGGGCTATCTTCTTGACGAGATTGCATGAATGAATGGCGGAAGCAGGATAAGGAACTTGGAGAAGGGAGAAACACAGGTAAGGGTCAAAAGCGATAGGAAGCTGTGGAGAGCCATGATCGGCCAAGCCCTGAAGGGAGAGGGCACATAGAAGATGAAGAAGAATAAAAGATGTTGTCATTTATTGATAGCGCTAAAGTAAAGGAGGTACGGTGGGTTTATGAATAGCAGCTCGGATTGATTAATCGGAGAACCGAGTTCGCTTTCCAGTCGAGTTCAGTACATTCACTTAGTGCTAATACCCTTGGGAAAGATATAAATACATCTTTTCTTCACACCTATGGGTAAATAGCAGGACAGGTGGAAAACCGTCTAGGATTAAGACAGCTCTGAATTCAAAACCTCATTTACGGACCAAGTGCGACCCAAACAATCTTCCGTGGTCCACGGCTGTCGATCAAGAACTTGGAGACGAGATGGACGCCGCCAAGCTATCTAAAAGATCAGTGAAGGGATCATAAGGAATAAGAATCAAAGTCTGTTTCTTCTACCCTCAGGTCCCCACCCACTACGATGGAAACATTCGGGGGACTGATGATGATGATGATGATGATGATGATGAATGTATAGAAAAATGAGATATATTAGAAATAGTAAACAAATGATTCCCAGAATGCTCACTACTGATTTTATAGACCAGTGAGATAGGCTCCAGGTAAGATTAATTAAATAGCATAAAAGGGTGCAAAAGATAATGAGATTGAACAATAAAGTAAAAGCTCGAACTAACAAAGCTAATTTTGAGAAAGCAGATATCATGGAAAAGTCATCGAGGAAAAAGCAAAGTGCTTTGGTGTTAATAGCACCTTTTAGCGCAAAAAGCCCTTGAAATGGTGGAATCTGGATGAAACCCATCGAGAAAGAGCGTTACAATCTGTAGTCAATTTGATGGATGGAATAAATGGAGTTGTGTGAGATTTTCTAGCCGCCAACGTTTCCATAAGGGAATCGATGTTGGATAGAGAGGGGCCAACTATTCAGGGTCACTGGCAAGAAGACGAACAGAGAATCACTACTTCTTGAATTGATTAGCTAATTTAATGTCCTTTTCGTATATCAAGATATGGATGTATTAGTTGCGTCCTGTATTGATGTTTTCAGCAAACATGCATAATTATGAGGCGTTCGGTAATTTGCGTGAATCAAATTCTTGTGAGTAATGCTGCTTGTTGTAGCTTGAAGCAAAGACTTAATAAACAAAATAACTAGTAATATTTAGGACAATTTGGTGTTTTTTGTTTTTTTTAATCATTTCACCCCAAGCAAAGCAATAAAGTCACTAAGATGCAGTCGGGTTACTGAGTGTGAAAGGATATAAGAAAAAGAAAACATGAAGGAAAAAGAACAATAAAAGAACAGGAATTAAGAAGACAGAAGATAACGATTGGCACTGCATTTAGAATTTTGAAGATCAAACTTGACTGGAAAATAAGAAGCCGGAAAAGAGTCCCGCAAGCGAGAAACGCGTGAGAAGAAACTCTTAGCATAGAACTTACGGTTACATCTAGCCAATTCAATTATATGTTCGCCTATTCTCTACCAGCGTAAGTTTGTTTTTTTTTTTTATTATCTTCACCCTGTACAAATCCCAAGAACCACTCGAAGGTAGAGAGTTACAGAGCAAATGGTACCACACCAAGCAAGGAGATAATGCCACGAAGACGCAAGGGATCACCGGAATTGAAAAAGAATGAAAAGGCTATAAAAGGAACCGGAAATCCAATCCTAAACAGGAAAGAAGGGATAAACTTCTACTCCTGTTCAAAAGACCGGGGAGGCGTACGAACCGGGCGATAGGCGAAGCTATCTACTCCTATTTAAAAGGGTGATATTTGAGTTCAAGTAAAAGCTAGTTTTTCGAATGCTGATTTTTCTAATTTGATCTTCTCTTTCGGTCTTGGGGAAAAAGAGGATAAACTTAGCATAACTTAACTTAGGCTTTTTTTTTATCTAAATATCAAACTATTTTGGCAGCTGTAGTGTTCCACAATTGTGGTCTTGTTTTGAACTATGTTTGTTTTAGGATATATATATATATAGAGAGAGAGAGATAATATAGATAAGTTTAGTACGAATGAACGATAATAAAAGAAATAATGAAAATATAGATAAAAAATAGCAATATAAATAATCATTATAATAATTTCCAAGCAATTAATACATTTGAATTTCAATCCGATATTTTTTTTATTACTTTAGACTATTTTTTTGCGGATGTAGGGCACCTAGTGAGGATGTAGCTCTTTACGGAAAAGATCATCAGGTAGACTAAAATGCGAGCATAAAAACTGATATTTACGATAATAATTTAATATCAATGAAACAAATATATTTTAGAAATATATAATTTGAATTTATTGCATATAATTTTAGTGAAACAAAGTACTAATGGTAAATGAAACTGCAAAATTCCTGAATATGTGTTTCAATTTGCAGAAGATTAAATCAACAGACAACAAAGATGGATGACGATAAAGGACCACACTAACACTAACGTGCACAGGTTCTAAAAAACAGAGAGCATTCAACCCTCATATTAATGATTATCATCTTTCAGCGTTAACAAAGGCCTGTACTCTTACATGAATTCATAAAGATGGCGAATACCATCTTGCAATACATTATTCCAAACCTTTTGTACTTGTTGCCACAGTAAAGCAACAACTATAGTTAGGCTAATTCAATGAGTCAGGCTTCCTCCCTTCTTGGTTCATAAGTTTTCAATGGATGAGAGCTCATACTAACCAGAACATTTGTTGAATATCTTGCAAGACATTTTGTGTAGTATAGTCATTATCTGGCAGGCATTATTCTTCTGGAACAGAATAGCATGTTGTAGGAATGGTAGTAGAACAGCCTGAACAATGTTTTGGA